AATGTGAATGTTAACATGTCAATGTGAATATTCACATTGACATGTTAACATTAACATTGATAGGAGTGTAAAATTTGCCCGCTGCCCGAAGCTTGCCCGCGGCCCGGGGTAGGACCGGCCCGGCCCGTTGATAATGTGAATATTCACATTGACATGTTAACATTCACATTGATAAGAGTATAAAATTGGCCAGCGGCCCAAGGCGGGCTCGACCCGCCCCGTTGACAATGTGAATATTCACGTTGACATATTAACATTCACATTGATAAGAGTGTAAAATTGGCCCGCAGCCCGTGGGCGGCCTGAAGCCTGACCGCAGCTCGAGGCGGGCTTGGCCCGACCCGTGACAATGTGAATATTCACATTGATATGTTAACATTAACATTGATAGGAGTGTAAAATTTACCCGCTGTCCGAAGCTTGCCCACGGCCCGGGGTAGACCCGGTCTGACTCGTTGACAATGTGAATATTCACATTGACATGTTAAAATGCACATTGATAGGAATGTATAATTGGCCCGCGGCCCGTGGGCTGCCCGAAGCTCGCCCACGGCCTGGGGCAGGATCGTTTCGGTCCGGGCTCGAGCATGTCCGAGACCCTAGGTTAGGGCCTAGGTCATCACTTTGAAGCCCGGCCCGGCCCATCGGCCCACTTAAGGCCCATTCAAGGCTCGGTTCGAGGTCCAACCCGCCTGAGGTGCAATGTATTTTTTTGTGAAAAATAATAAAATTTTGGTAGAAAAAATTAAAAAGAACTAAAAAAAAATAGCCAGGCCCGCCCAAGCGTGACCTAAGCTCGAGGCTAGGCCCAGGCCCACCGCCCCGACCCGAGGCTCGATCCATCGGCCCCTCCAAAGCCCAAATACCCTTATGCTAGGGCTATGGCCTGGGCCTAATTTTTTGGCCCGTGGGCTGGCCCGACCCGGCTCAGGAAAGGCTCGTTTGGGCCCAAGCTCGAGCCTAGTCTGAGACCCTAGGCTAGGGCCTGGGCCATCACTTTGAAGCCCGACCCAGCCCATCGGCTCGGTTAAGGTCCATTCAAGGCTCGGTTCGAGGTCCGGCCCGCGCCGAGGCCTAGTGTCTTTTTTTGTGAAAAATAATAAAATTTTGGTAAAAAAAATTAAAAGAATTAAAAAAAAAATGGCCAGGTCGGTCCCGGGCTGCCCACGGGCCGTGGACGGGTTTCGAGCAACCACGAGTAGGGGTGTGCATAATACCGCCGAAACCGCACCGCCAAGGCAAATTCGTTATTATTTGCCAATCGAACCGCCGATTTTTAGTAAGAAAAATGGCAAATTTTAGTGACACTTTTATCAATCCCCCGGTTTCTATTTTTCTTCCAAACCGCACCGACCTGCACCACTATTAAATCATGTTTTATAAGATTCTAAAAATTCTTCTTTACTTAAGTTTGCTTGTTGTTCTATACCTTAGAATATAGTATTACATTACTGCTCGAGGGGAATTCAAGATGTCAGTAATCCAAATAAAGTTGGATTCCAATTCACTTTTCAATCTTTTTTTTTTTTTTGGCCATGTTGCAAACTTGCATCAGCTCACTTTTCAATCTACGCACCGACCCGCACCGCTATTAAATCATGTTTTATAGGATTCTAAAAATTCTTTTTTACTTAAGTTTGCTTGTTGTTCTATACCTTAGAATATAGTATTACATTACTGCTCGAGGGGAATTTTATGTATTGTATTTGATCATTGTAGCTTCCACAGATGCTTGTAATGAACTGATGGCATAGTCGTTGATATTATCATGTTGTTGCTACACTTGCTGCATCAGAAGAAAGCTTCGCAAGATGCTTAACATCACGATATCTCTCGTCTTTTTTTTACTCTTTGATTTAAGTTTTGTAATTTGAATTATATTTTTTATAAACCGCCAATCCGCCCGAACCGCCAAGGCAAATCCGCAATTTTTTGCCAACCGAACCGCCGATTTTTGATAGGGAAAATGGCAAATTCTAGTGACACTTTTATCAATCCGCCACCCGCCATACGGTTTCTATTTTTCTCTCAAACCGCATCGACCCGCACCGCGCACACCCCTAGCCACGAGGCACGGGCTAATTTTACACTCCTATCAATGTGAATGTTAACATGTCAATGTGAATATTCACATTGTTAACGAGCGGGCCGGGCCTGCCTTGGGGCGCTGGTCAATTTTATACTCTTATCAATGTGAATGTTAACATATCAATGTGAATATTCACATTGTCAACAGGTCAGGCCGGGCCCGCCCCGGGCCGGCCACGGGCCGTGGGCGGGTTTCGGGCAACCACGAGGCGCGGACTAATTTTACACTCCTATCAATGTGAATGTTAACATGTCAATATGAATATTCACATTGTCAACGGGTCGGACCGGGCCCGGCCCCGGCCGTGGGCGAGCTTTTGGCCGCCCATGGGCCGCGGGCCAATTTTATACTCTTATCAATACGAATGTTAATATGTCAATGTGAATATTTACATTGTCAACGGGCCCGCCGTGGGCCGCCCATGGGCCACGGGCTGGTTTTGCGCCACCATGGGCCGCGGGCCAATTTTACACTCTTATTTATGTGAATGTTAACATGTCAATGTGAATATTTACATTGTCAATGGGCCGGGCCCGCCCCGATCCGACTCGATTTTTTCCGGGCACCCACGAGGATTGACATAGTCCGGGCCCCTACACATTAACGATATGAATATTCACATTGACGGTGTGAACATTCACATTAGGGGTATTTTGGTAATTATGTCACCCATAGGACTTATTGAGACATAAGAAAATAATGTGAACTAAATAGAACATAAGTAGATGAAAATGGTATTTTGGTCTTCTTATCTCAAATAGGACCTAATGGAATAGTCAAAAAGAATATGGGTTTGATGGAATAAAGCTCTTAGAAAGTGGATTTATCAAAAAAGCTCAAAAAAAAAAAAATGAAAATTCAGTACATGTTTCATATTTTTGTGTATTTATTAATTTTTAAAAATATTTTTCCACAAATATTTTACTATTTAGATACATCTAAGTAAAATACATCTAAAAAAGTAAAAAATTGCTTAAAATTTTAAAAATATTCACTAAAAACAAAAAGACACGAAAAACAAAAAAACTCAATTTCCATAAAATTGAATTCAGAAAATTAAAATCAAACACACTATATATTTTTTTGTAATGAAAATTATATTTTTGTGTAAAATGTACACCTTTATTTAAGTTATTTATGCCCAATAAACTATAAGTAAAAACTATACTAAACAATTTAACACAAACTCTCAAAATAAATAAATTATAATTAACTCATTTAAGCTTCGTTTGATTTGGCTAATGTAGTCAATTTTTTTGTATTGGGACTTTTTTAGCCTCGTTTGATTTGGATTTTTTGGCTTTTTTGACTTTTGTGAGAGAAAAAGTGTAATGATTATGAATTGGATGTGATATTTTGTCTTATTAACTTATTTAACCTATTTTGTCATTTTGTACTTTTTTTAATTCCAAAATGATAGCTAAACCAGCGCTTAAACTACAACAAACAATCCCATAATCTTTCTTTTCTCTTTATACTCTTAATTTTCTAAGCCCTAGTTCCACCAACATCTTATTCCTGCACTCACATACTCTCCCATCACAACACCACCTCTCTAAGAGCATCTCTAATGGAGCTACTATTCAAGCTGCCAAAGTTAAAAAATGACAAGAATGGCAAAAAGAGGTCTCCAATGGTCTGCTATTTCACTTGCCAAAGATAGCAGATGCCATATGTGTTCTCAAATTTGACAAGTGAAATAGCAGCTCCCAAGCTTGCCAGATCAGCAAAAATCAACAGCAATTTGGTACCAAATTTAGTTGAAAACAACATAATTGAAACAGTAGGGAACCCATTTTTCAGAATCAAACAAATTTTAGAATGAAATTGACAAACCCAAAATCGGTTTCTCAAATATATATATTTTTAATTCATTTATCACCAAATCCGTCAATCCAAATCAGATGGTATGCATTCACAATTAACCAAACCAAATCAAATAATCCAGTATCACAATAAAATGATCGGATGAACAAAAATTTGCAGAATGAAGATTGAGAGGGAGATAGATATCAAAACATATATATATATATATAGGGAGATACAAGATTTGATGGATAAACAAAAAAAATTAATGAAGACAAATATCAAAAATTGATAGATCAACAAAAATTGATCAAAAAAAATAATTAAGAAAATTTGAAAAAAAAAACATACCAGATTTGAGTTCTTTGAAGATCCAGTTTGAATCCTTCGCCAGATTTAAGTTTAAAAAATCACGATCACCTCAGATCCACATCAACAACCAGAAAAAATCATCACATAAAGACTGAGAGGGAGACAGATCAAAACATGTATATATATATATATATGAGTATGTACATAGATGGACATCGTACCAGAGACAGAGAGTACACAGATCGGAGGTGAAGATTGGGAGGGAGACAGATCGGAGCTTCATAGGTAGAGAGAGAGAGAAATAGAGAGAGAGAGAGAGAGGGGAGGGACGTTTCGATTATGGAGGAGGAGAATGGACTAGTTTGAGGAAAGGGATGGAAGACAGAGAGAGGGAGATAAATAGTGAAAACAGAGAGAAGGGGAAGACAGACTGAGAAAGTGAGAGGGAGACAGAGTGAGAGACTGAGAAGGAGACCGAGTGAGAGAGTCAGAGAGGGGTTTCGGTCATGGAGGAGAAGGGGGAGTGGTTTGAGAAGAGGGAGACAGAGTGAGAGTGAGACAGAGTGAGAGAGTGAGAGAGGGGTTTCGATCATGGAGAAGAAGGGAAAGTATTTTGAGGAGAGGAAGACAGAGTGAGAGGGAGAGGAAGATGGTGGATCATTCTAGATGTATATACATGGATGGTGATGCCTCAGTGTATAAAAGAGCCCAACGAGGATAGATACCATCAGCAAGATAATATCCCATGGTGTACGCGTGATTATTGATGGTGTAGTTGGCAGTAGGGGCACATCCTCTAATTAATTCAGCAAATAAAGGCGACCTGTCAAGAACAGTAATATCATTTAGAGAGCCAAGCATGTCAAAGAAGACATGCCAAATCCACAAGTCATAGGAGGCAACTGCCTCGAGTACAACTGTTGGCTTGTGATAGTGTCCAGTGTAAGCACCGGCTTGGGCAGTTGAACATTTATCCCAACGCCAGTGCATACATTCCAAACTCCCTAATATTCCAGTAAACTCGCGTTGCTCTCCCTCTTGCAATAATCTGGCAACATCTGCTTCATTTGGAGATCTTAAGTAAACGGCTTCATAGGTAGCAACAATTGATCTAGTAAAAAAATTTAAGGTGGCAATTGCAGTATTTTCGTCGATTCTAATGTACTCGTCTACAGCATCAGCAGGCACGCCGTATTGTAGGATCCGAAGTGCTGTAGTCATCTTCTGTACACCGGATAATCCAGGAGCACGAGTGGCATCACGGGTTTGGATGAAGTACTCATTCACTTGTTGAATATCATGTAAGATACTAACAAACAATGACCGTCTTATTCGAAAACGTCTTCGGAAGTATTCTTTTGGATAAACAGGATTATTTGCAAAATAATCTCTATAAATTTGTTCGTCGCCTTTGGGCCTCTCACGATTAATGTGTTGACGACCACTTGTGGAACCAACACGTCTGGTTTGTTGGTTTAGGCTTAACGTCTATAATCTTTGTTGTTGCGCTGTGAATAATTGCATCATGATGATATCATCATCAGATGATGAAGATTCAACAAAATCTCCATTCAATATGGCTTTAGTCAAATTGTTCATTGTAGGTGGATATGTGAGTGAGTGAATATGAAAATTGTAAAAAATCTTTTGGGTGGGTACAGAGAGTTTAGAAGGAATAAAAATGATGGGTAGGTGAATATGAAAATGATGGGTAGGTGAATATGAAAATTATAGAAAACCTTGTGTTATATTTATAGAGAAAATTATGGGTGGGTGAATGATGGATGGTTGTTGGGTGGGTGAATGATGGATGGTTGTTGGGTGGGTGGATGAATAATGGGTGGCTGTTGGGTGGGTGGATGAATAATGGATGGTTGTTGGGTGGGTGGATGAATAATGAATGGTTGTTGGTGGGTGGATGAATAATGGATGGTTGTTGGGTGGATAGTTGTGAGTGAATGAATGCTGGGTTAATAATGGAGGGTTGTTGGTGGTTGGTTGTTGGTGGGTAATTGATGATTGTTTATTTTTTATGTGTAGTTAAAAAAATTTATTAAGGAGTTGTTTGGGATGACCTAAATAAGAGTACTTTTTGTCTTTTTATGAAAAGATGTGCAGAAAAATAGAGATGTGATGTGATGGAAAAAAGATAAAAAGATAAAAAGATGAATTATTTTGTGTATGTCAAACTTGGCCTAAATATGTAGTGATATGTTTTTTGGTGGGGTGAATTAATCAAACAATTTTTTTTTTCCAATTTTTAATTTTTTATATTTGTCTAGTTGAGAATAATATAAAAATATATAATTTTTTTAATAAACAGGTAAAAAAATGTCACAAAAGACAACAAACAAACAAAAATAAAATCACAAAAAACGTATATCCAAACAACACCTACAAACTTGGAGGAAAAGCTGGTTAAGATTTGCCAAAATAGTAAATGACCATTGGAGCATCATTGATATAATTTAGTAAAATAATACTATTTATTGCCAAATTATAGCAATAGCAATAACATTATAACAATAATGGTTGAAGATGCTCTAATAAAGTAAAAAATTAACATTTTAGAATTTTAGGGTGTGTTTGGTTTGTGTTTGTAAAGTAGTTTTTAAGATAAAAAGTACAAAAATTTGTTTGGTTTGCCTTTTTCAGAAATGATTTTGGAAAATTGTTTTGGGGAGAGAGTTTTAAAAAAAGTGAATGATTTGATGTGTATGAGAGAGATAGTGATTTTGGAAAGTAGATAACCAAACAAAATTTTGAAATTTTTTTAGAAAAATTTGCTTGGTTTGATTAGAGCATCTCCAATGCACTAGGCATATAATACTTGTTAGTTAAAATGCCTAGTGTGATTCACTTTTTTCAATTCCAATGCACTAGGCATATGATTAGGCATTTTGCCTCAACTCATATTCACTAGCTACATGTAGCTAGCCTTCAACGCTAGGCAAAATGTATTCAATCATTAGGATCATTTCCCTCCATCTTTGTTGGATTCAACCGCATAGGCTATCCTGCATAATTAGAAGTTTAGGCTTATGTTTTTGTTCCCATTTATAAATATATCTTTGTATTCATAGTAGTGGTCAGAGGAGTAACAGTTGTATAGGATCTCCTAATTTTCATCAACAATTCATTCTTTCAAGAAACCCCGTCTTTCCGAACCTCACATTTCATAAAGACAATAAGCTGAACATTTCCATGATGCAACTAACAGTAGGTTGTATAAATTCTAATGCAATGAAACATTGCACTTGCAATTACAAGTAAGTATCAAGCTCCAAATGCAACAGAAGGAAAGATTGAAAGGCAACTAACTTCGCAACACCTGGCCGAAGAGGCAACAACTTTTTCTCAATAAGGGCCATGAACAACTCCGTCTTTCTCTTGTGCAGGGAAGCAATAAATTGCTTTCTTTCCTCTTCGCTCTTTGGAGCTTTCTCTGGCCAACCAGTCTTGTTAAAGTAGGCTGTCATCCTATAAAGACACAAATTAACCACTAACCTAAAAAAATCAACACCGAAAATTCAAACCAAACAAAACCTCAAAGTAGTCATAAATTATTATAGGACCTCTAAATTATGATAACAATATTCTCATGATCTCTCTACTTCAATTAAAAAAAAAAAAAATCAAATTCAATGTTCTCTATGAGATTTATATAACTTGTAATAGACTTACACTTTTTTCCCAGAAAGGGGCATTACCTTTCTTTTCCTCCCCCAATTTTGAGCAACTCGCCATACAAATCCACATCCCAGGTAACTCCCAATTCCCTCTGTGTAAAATCAATTTTACTTTGTAATCAAATCAAACAACTTCAATGCGAAAAAAATAATAATAATGACATTGCAAAAATATAATCATAACCCAATTCAGTAAAAATCGAAATTAGAACACAAATTCCCCACAAACAAAAAAAAAAAAAAACAAACGAACAAACAAACAAACAGAACAAAACAAAACAAAATACAACCCAACCCAACCCAACCCAATTTGTAAACAAATCAGCAACTCATTTCAATTTTTTTTTTACTTTTTAGGTATATTTATGTTAAGTATGTCTAAAAATTAAAAAAATTGCTCAAAATATTAAAAAAATTCAGTAAAAATAAAAAATACGAAAAATAAGAAAGTAGAATTTTCTAAAAAGTGTTTTTGAAAAATGATAACCAAATATGCTGATATTTAAAAAATTTAAAAGTCATATTATATAATTAAATCAAAATTGAATATTAATTTTATTTTTTCCCTTTGAATCTTGTTCTCATAGACTTGGTTTGGGAAGTGAATTAATTTTTTTATTATTTTAATGAGAAATTAAAAAATTTGTTTTAAGAAAGACTTTTAATGTTTTTATAAAAAAAATAATTATAAATTAGATATAATATTTTATTTTACTAAAACTAAGGCCAAGTTTGGGAAGATCCAAAAAAGTCAAAAAGTCGCCAAAAAGTTACTCAAAAAGCTAAAAAGTTAACACTATTCACCAAAAGTCAACAATTACGGCTGCACAACTCCCAATTCAAATTTTTCCCTATAAATTAATTTTTACAATTTTTTATTACACATTTTTCAATAAAAAGTCAAAATGTTAACCCAAACATCCATATTTTCAACCTCAATTTTTTAGTCCAAAAAGACAAAAAGTACACTTTTTTAGTCTTCCCAAACTTGGCCTAAAAAGCCTATTTTTTTAAAATTATGTTTGGTTTGTGTTTGAGAGATGTGTTTTAGAGATAAAAAGTACGAAAAATTGTTTGGTTTGGTTTTTTTCAAAAAATGTTTTGGAAAATTATTTTGAGAGAGAGTTTTGAAAAAAGTAATTGATTTGATGTGTATGAAAGAGAGATTTGTTTGGAAAACTTGTTTAATTTACAAGTTTTGATAAATTTTTTTAGAAAAACTTGTTTAGTTTAATTACTTTTAAAAACTTATTTGTAGAGAAAATTTCCTAAAAACTTTTCAGAAATACAAACCAAAGGAACCCTTTAGCTCCAAATTCACCAAACCCAATTCCCAAATGTAAAGAGGCGGGAAAGGATTGGAACCCTACCTGAGAAATTGTAAAGCTTTTGACACACACACACTCTCTCTCTCTCTCTCTCTCTCTCTCTCTCATCTTTGTGATTTCGCAGAACACTTCATCAATCGATCGATCGATCAATCAATCTCTCTCTCCCCATGGGTATAAAGGTAGCTCAGTTCATCATCAATTTCTGTTCTTGACATTCTCAAATTTTTTGAGTCATTTTATACCTCTCTCTCTCTCTCTCTCTTTCTCTCTCTCTATATCTCTCTCTATTTGTGTAGGGTTTAACGAAGCTTCTTGCGGACAATGCTCCAAAGTCCATGAAAGAGCAAAAATTCGAGAGCTATTTCGGTCGCAAAGTCGCCATTGATGCCAGCATGAGCATCTACCAGTTCCTGGTCCCTAGTCTCTCTCTCTCTCTCTCTCTTAATTCTCGTATGAGTGTGTTTTAGTTCAATTGGTGTTTTCTTTCATGTAGATTGTTGTGGGTCGAATTGGGACTGAAACGCTTACCAATGAGGCTGGTGAAGTAACTAGGTACTCACTTCTCAATTTTTTTTTTTTTTAAAAGCAAATCAGTTTTAGAAACTAATGGATTGAAAATTTCTATGTCTTGTTTGTGAGAATTTTTGAATTAGTTTAATTCATGTTGTGGCTTGTATCACTTTAGTCCCTACAGTTTCAATTTGCTCAATTTTGACCCTTAATTTTATATTTTGCATCAATTTGGTACAATTGATAATGTCGGTATGTTTTTTGACAGAATTTTTTTATTAAATTAGTTGAGTTTAAGTCATTGAATCGATCAAGTTTACGATTTTGCTCCTAAAAGTAGGACACATGCCCCTCATTTGCACATTTGCCATGAAAAAATGCTAGCAATTGGACCAATTTGAGACAAAATAAAAAAATTATTTCAAAATGACACAAGGGCCAAAGTACAGGGACTAACAATGTAATTTGCCTGAAGTTCAATTACGACTTCATGTATCGATGGTTTTTTCAAATTGGGATTTGCCCTATGATTGTTTTTTTGTTTTTAATATGCTGAGTTTGTGTTGTTGGCCCATTGTAGTCATTTGCAAGGGATGTTCACTCGGACAATTCGGCTTCTTGAATCTGGATTGAAGCCAGTGTAATTTTTTTCATTACCTCTCTTCACTTTATCCTACATGTATTGTAGGCCCAATTTTGGGGTAAAGTTTGACATTTTCTTAATTACCGTGCCCTTGTGCCAGATATGTTTTCGATGGAAAGCCTCCGGATTTGAAAAAGCAAGAGCTTGCAAAACGGTACTTTTAATTTTTATTTTCATTTTTTTTAATCTCAGAGTTTTTATTTATTACTTCTTTTGGACATGGAGTATAAGGCCACAAATGTCTGATTACTATAATTTTCACATGGAACCCTTTTATGCATTTGCAGTTATACAAAAAGAGCAGATGCTACTGAGGATTTGAATGTGGCCTTAGAGGTAAAATGAATATTCCATGTAAATTCCAGCATTAACTTCCTTATTTATTCTTTCCTATTTTCTGTTTCTCTTATCATTTTTCTTTTACTTGTTTTTCCATTTAATTTTACCATGGAATCTTTCATTCAAAGGTGCTTTCATTGTCATTGTAGACTGGCAATAAGGAAGAGATTGAGAAATTCAGCAAACGAACAGTGAAGGTGGGTTCTGGCACAATTTCTCTCATCTCCCATTTGTAAATTATTAAGGCTGCAATGATATAACAGTTGGTAAGCTGTCATTATTGTCAAGGCCATTTAATGAGATTGGGGGCATTGTAGAGTATGGCACCTTTGAGTGTTATTTGGTGGATGCTTTATAAAAGTATAGATAATCAAAGAAAAAAATTGAGCTTAATGAACCCGTTGATTTCTCCTTTCTGTTCTGAAGAAGCTTGTCAAGGATATATAGCTGCCCCCTTCTCTAGTGTGGGAACCTTTGACCATGGTCATGCATGACAGTTATTTGGCAGCGCTAATAACAACTTTCTTAGTAAATGGTCCAAGTCTGTCTTTCTGATATCCATATTTGAATGTGAATTTTGATGGGTGAAGGTTGAGTGATGGCAAGGAAATCTTGTAAAGCTTCTCTCATGCTTAAATAGTTTTTATCATTTTTTTGTTCATTTATTATTCTTTCCCCCCCCCCCCCCCTTCCCTAAAGAGATATTCTCATTTACTTCCTTTTTGTTTTCTCCTGCTTCTCTTCAATGAATATCTATTTGTCATAATAGGAAAATGTAGAAGTATTGACATTCATTTTGGAATTGTTAAGTTTAGCAGTTTGGAAAGAGAAAGGGTTGGACGCAATAGAATGCCTAGGAATTTTATCTACATGTTCCTCTTATTTGGGTCCATTTAGGGGTTCCACTCGTTTAATGTAGAGTTACCATGATAATAGTAGATTATTACTTTGTATCTGTTGGCAAACTTTTTTTTTTTCTTTTTTTTTTTTCCTTTCTTTTGTTTTTGTTTTTAAATGAATGGGACTATTATTGAGATAAAGTGCATGAGCAAGGCACTGCCAACACACAAAGGAAAGAAAGCATTGATGAAACTAATAAAAATTCCTACCAAACGATTAAGGACAACTTGGACAAGATTATCTAATGATTATACCTGTGATTGGAGGCCCTTGAAAAGATCTGGCATAACGATCCATTGTTTCGTTGAACACTTTCCACGACTTCATGGATGATGGAGATTGTCCATTCAGAATTTCATATAATTTAATATTTTTTGTTTCGCAATCTCCAAGTCACAACAAAGAGTAGTTGATTTTGACGGGACAAGCCTTTTGAAACAAATATATTATGATACCAAGTTAAGAAAGAGTTACTGAAGGAAAATGTGATACCAGTTACTCCAAAGCCTAAATCACAAGCAGATTCAAATGATAAGTGACAAAAACTGTAAAATATAAAAACTAATTACTTAATGGGGTCCTCATAGTGAAATTTCCCCCCGCTATAATCATTTTATACCTTCTGTATATGCAATGTCTAGACCTCCATTCACTCCACCTTTGACAGCACCTTAAATCACTCTACTACCAAATGATAGTAATGACAATAAAACATTGAAACATGCCTTACTAATATTTATTTCTGTTATAAAAATCCTAAATATCAAACAAGTGGCAAAATGTAGCAGTAGGATCATAATGCAAATATTATCTCAAGTATCTATCTTCTGCAAGTAAGAAGATTGTCACTCTATTTCAATGTGGTAGTTACTCCCTTTTTTTCCCTTCCTCCACATCTTTTTTGGGGGGATGATTTTGGTGGTTGCTATCTTAATATCATTTTAAGGGTTCATTTTGATGAACTTTTTCTCTAATGATTGTTAGGGAAGTTAGCATCATGTCCTTGTATATGTTTTTTAATCCTTTTACTATGTAGCATTACATAGCATGGCTGGAGTTTGAAAATATTTTAATATGTGGATGCTGTTGATGCTGTCTCCTCGTTGGTTTTGCAGGTGACAAAGCAACACAATGATGACTGTAAAAGACTTCTAAAGCTCATGGGAGTGCCTGTAATTGAGGTGATAATATGAAATAACTTATTGTTGGTGTGAGTTGGTGTTGGAAACTATTGAAATAGTTTCTGCAGAGTGGGATAGTTTGCTTCTTTTACTGTATTGGTATTTCTTTTTGAATTGTATTGATGAAGTGTATACTTTTTGTATACACAAAAAGATCAAAGTTAATCTTCTTACATTATATGGTTTTATGTTCTATTTAGGCTCCCTCAGAGGCAGAGGCACAGTGTGCTGCACTTTGCAAATCTGGAAAGGCAAGGATCTTATTTTTCATTATAATTTGTTATTTTAAGGTGTTAAATATGTCCTGTAAAGATTAAATCATTTACTTTTTATATTATAATAGTAAGTTACTATCATCATCCATGATGAATTCATAGGCGGTGATGGATTTGTACTTTCATATCCTATTGAAAATGGAATGAAGCACGTTTTGCCACAAGATACGCATAATGTGCGGTTGATAAATGAAATATAAGAAATTTATATTCAATTTTTTTTGGGGGTGTGAATTAGGTTTATGCTGTTGCGTCTGAAGACATGGATTCTCTAACATTTGGAGCTCCTAGATTTCTTCGCCATTTAATGGATCCAAGCTCAAAAAAAGTCCCAGTCATGGAATTTGAAGTTTCAAAGGTGTGTAAGAATATTGAACACAATTGTGGCTGCTTAATTTTTTCCACCATTTCTGATTTTGTTTTTCAGGTTTTGGAGGAGCTGAATCTTACCATGGATCAATTCATCGACTTGTGCATTCTTTGTGGGTGTGACTATTGTGATAGCATTCGGGGTAATGCAATTTCTTACCAGCATCATTATTGTGAAAGATGTTTGTCAATATGTTCAAAATGATGCATGTTTCTTTTATTTGTTTTGTAAGAGGAACTCATTTTTAAAAGAAAAGAACACAAACAAACAAAAACATTGCCACTTTTTGGGCTATTAGTAATTTGGTTGGGTTATTAAGAGAGCATGGAAATACTAAGTCGCACAAACAAAGACGAGGCATCAACATAGACTCAATACAAGACTTGACACAGCAAGTATACAGGCATGGTGAGGATCCAGCAATGTGTTATTAATGCATAGTTTTGTGTGCTATAAATATATTATAGAAGTTAATCTATGAATTTGATTAATTGCCTAATTTTCTATATTAACAATTGTAGAATCTAGAAGGTGTGAACTATATCCTTCTTGTATATTGAAGGTGTTGCATACTTTTGATAAAGGTTATATTGCATTAAACATAAAAGATGGTCATCAACAACTAACAGCATCTAACAAACACAAATACACCACAAAACTCAAGAAAACTAAGCAAACAAACGAAAACAAAAGCTCAGCAACTGCTCCTCAACCAGCAACCGCATGCAACATCAACACAATCCTGTAAAGATAGCAAGAACACAGCCAAATTTGAAAAGGTTATGAACTATTGGATCAAAAAGTTTGGCGCCGAGGTGGTTGAAAGAGACTTGGATTTTTGAAGCTATCTTCAATCCAAGGCTCTCTCTTGCGTTTGCCAGGATTGGGAGTGTTTGACTGAAGGAATTCAGCAGCATTGTTCAATACATTTTCGCTGGAAAAGCATGGTCTTGGAGCTTTGATACGCTTGGAGCCTCCCACTCAAAAAATGTATAATTTGATTAGAGTTTGGTGCTAGTAACAGCTCTTCAGGGGAATTTGGTGCGTGCAACTGCTCGTCAGGTGCTCGAGAAACTGGGGATGGCAGTGGTGGTGGTGCAAGTTCACTAGGAACGGGTGTGGTAGGCTGAATTTCAATATTTGGAACATCCAACACATCAACTTGTATGTTTGTCTCGGAAGGCCCTTTTGGTTGAAGCTTGACAACGGACAAGCTTTGTCGGTGTATAAACTGAAATGAACCAGTAACTTTAAGATTTTGATGCAAATTACGATCAATGAGGAGATGCCAAACTTCTTTACAAATGTTAGCAGATGCCAAACTTCTTTCCTTTCTTTCTTTCTTTCTTTCTTTTTTTTTTTTTTGTTTTTTTTTTCTTTTTCTTTCTTTACTTTCTTTTTCTTTATAAATTAAAGAAAAGGTTGGACACTTCAAGGTATGCACATCCTTTCTCCAAGAATGTCTGAGAGTGCTCCTCCACGTATTGCTGAAGTGTAAACTGTCTATTATGGTGAAATTTATCCTAAATTTTTGAAATGTCGAAGATGTAGCGGATGTTGCTAGGAGTGTCCACAAGGTTTGCACAAGAACACATCCTTTGTAGAAGTGTTTCTACTACTTGGGGGATAAAGAATGCTTGCATGTTATATATTTGAGTGTATGGTTAGGCTATCACATTTTACAGACCCATACTGGATTCATGTATTCGATGATGTATCTGTTTCCTTTTTTCCTTCCTTCCGTTGGCTGGAAATTGTATAATAACTTATTTTATGTTTTTATTTATTTTATTTTTTAGTTATTTTATCAGTAATAACAATTAGAGGAAAATGGTAAATTGTCTATGGATAACTTCAATTGTTGTATGGATTAGTTTTGCATTCTTTTTTATCAGTTCTTTTGGTTGCTTCTTTATCCTGATTAAAAACTGAAATGTATACATCAAAACATCACATGCACCAAAGTATGAGAAATTAATTGATACCTAGCCTTGTATAGTATTGAACTTTTGCTGAAAGTTTTCTCTGAATAGCTGGGAAAGTTCGATCCAATAAAATCACTGATGATAAACTTCTAACTGGAAACAGGCCGAAGTGTTCTCTTGTCATTTACAGAATTAGCCACCATGACAATGGTAAAGCAATGAAAAGTATGAATTTTCCTTGCAGTCAATTTTGGTATGGGCACTTAATCTGTCCTAACCTTGCTTTGTCTCCCTGTGGAATTAACCATAAAAATTGTGGTCATTCCCTTGTAAAGCTTACCTTCTCCGATAGTTTCTTTAAGTTTTAATGTCTTTTACCTTTTACATGTTTTTGTCCGGTATAAGTTGTATAACACTGGTCATGTCCTTTTGAAGCTCACCACCTCCAATGGTTGCTTTAAGTTCAAACTCCTTTTACCATTATGTGTTTTTGTCGAGTATAAGTTGCGTGACTCTACGTAACATTTATTTTCATTTGGAAATGTAGTTTTTTCAAACTTTTGATGTTCTTTGTTTTATGTTTATTCATGAGAGTAGAAGAATGATGACTAGAAATACCCAGAGGATTTATCAAAAAAAAAAGAAAAAATAGAAATACTCAGGAGAGTTCATTTTTGTTATTTTTTTTTTTCACTTGTTTAATTGTTCTAGACATTGTCTCACCTGAAGATTATTTTTTTACTGCTATTTTCAAAAATATGTTTTAAGTTTGTTTAGTGCTTCCCTTGAATGTTGTACTGTGCTTTTAGGTATCGGGGGCCAGACTGCTTTAAAGCTCATCCGGCAACATGGCTCAATAGAGAATATACTGGAGAATATAAACAAAGAGAGGTACTTCTTATTTCTCAATTTCCTGTTTATCAATTCAATTGGTTGTGCAAACTGAGAATGTGCTGGGAAACCTACTGCAGATTTTTCTGTGGAAATTTTCAGCTTCAGTTATACTGCAAAAAATAAATGGATTTATTGAAATATATGCATGTATAAGAGAAAACAAAAGAATCTTGTCCTTGTGCTTTGAAAGTGGAACATATTCTAAATATGATGTGAAAAATGAAGATTTTCAGGTGAACTAAACTGAAGTGGATATGTTTGATGCCAGTAAAGTCTCAACAATTTATTATTATTATTGTTTTTTTTTTAAATTTTATTTTATATTTAAGCTTCCTTTTTTGGGAGGTGGACAGCCTGAATTGCATAATTAGTGTACCTCAGTATTTTTTTCCTCCCCTAATAACCTTTATCTTTTTAATATGTATGCTTATCTTTTTGCATCTTTCTGTCTTTGGTTATGTAAATTTCAGGATTTTTATTTTATGTGAGGTTTTCATACTTCATTTTGTTCATTATATTTTTCTTTGCGCTTGGCGGTTTTTCATGTTAGACTTCTCATCTCATATCATATTCTATTGGACATGACATTCATATGTATCCTCATTCCATTTTCCAATGCAATCTTTATACCTAAGAATAACTGGGTTTAGTAATATATATGTATGATTACCAAAGTTGTAATGCAAGTTCTTTTGTGTAAATCTTCTAAAATTCTTCATACTACATCATAATGCTAGTTAAACAGCATAACTTACATCACAACAAGGTTGCGGTTATGCAATTGCAAATGTCTATGATAAGGAAGAAATGATTTTGATTATTGTGCTGTTGTTATTGCGAGTTGTCCTTTTAAGTAGGGTCCATCACTTTTTAGGTTTTGAGAAATTGTGGCTAGAGAATCACTCATCTAAAAATAATTTTACAAGATGGTGGAATAGTAGTAGCCAAAGTTACATGGACTCGGGTACGAGTGTCGGGTGCGGGTGTATATCCAAGCGTCAGACCTTCATAAATTTAAATTTTAGGATCTTGGGATACATATCCAATTTGGATATGGGTACGGAGACACGTCATATGTACATATATATTGCATATTATATAATATTCTCAGATGAGATGTTTTAAATTATGTAGAAATATATTAGAAATTAAATATGATTAAAAAAAATATGAAATTTCTATATCTAATTCATGTGAGAGCCTAAAAATGTTGCTTTACTAACAAAAATGAATTTCTTGTTCTTCATGTATTGTCACAAATTGAAGAATCTGAGTGTCTAAATTGAGTATGAGTGTCGGACACATATCCCACATCGTTACCAATGTCATATCCGGTGGACACGGGTATTGTGGGGGAAATAGAAGAGTCCGTGTAACACAAGTAGTAGATGCCAAGGATGGGAGGGTTTTAAGTTCATGAAGAAGTTGAAGGTGATTAAGGAGAGAGTGAAGGAATGGAATAGGGAGGTCTTTGGCGACTTGAATGAGTCAAAAAAAGAATTAATTCGCAGAATCGAGGAGGTGGATGCAATTGAAGCTAGCGAGGCTTGGATAGTGTTTTGAGAGTGGATAAGGTTGAGTTAAAGACAAGGTTTGAGGGGTTAGTCTTCAGAGAGCAAGATTTTTGGGCTCAAAAGGCAAAATTAAAATGGGTAAATGGGGGTGATAATAATTCAAATTATTTTCTTGCTGATAGGAAGAGAAAAATAAGGCTTGGTTTGGCATCTTCAAAATAATCCAAAAAGTCAAAAAGTTACAAAAAAAAGTTAAAAAGTCATCACTATTCACTAAAAAAAAAATATTAAAAAAATTAATTTTGCACAAAAAATAATAAAACTCAGTTTGACATCCACAGGTGAAGCTAATTTTTTTGAAAAAATTGCACAGCTATATTGCACAAAAAGCACGCTGCTGTTCGGCCCGTGGGGGGCCATCAGTGGTCCCATTTTGATAATCTGAACCGTTCAATGTGTAGAACTCGTCGAGTACTATATAGCTGTAAAAAATCACGTTGATTGGATATCGCTAACTATATGATCAAATTAGTTTTGTATAAAAAAATGGATGGTGTTATAGTTAACAGTTGAAAAAAAACTAATCCGATCAGATAGCTATCGATATCCGATCAACATGATTTTTTACAAGTTTATAATATTCGACGAGTTCTACACATTGAATGGTTTCGATTAGCAAGAAGGGACCCGTGGTGGGCCCCCACGGGCCGAACATCACACTCCAATGCAATGCCCACAAATGAGGCAACCATTTCTTGTGTCAAATGCCTCTGCCCAAGACGGTTGGCCGTACTGCTATTCTCCCTACCTTCTACACACTAATTTATACAATTTTTTAATACACGTTTTTTCGTAAAAAGTCAAAAAGTTAACCCAAATAACCATATTTTTTTCCTCAACGTTTTAGTCCAAAAAGACAAAAAGTGCACTTATTTAGGACATTCTAAACAACCCCCAGTGTATTAAAAGATTAGAGGTTGGTCAAGTTGTGTTTGTGAACAAAGAGGATCATATTACCGGTGAATTTTTTTTTAAATTTTTTAATCAAATCTGTATTTGGATGAGGCCAATGTAGTTAGGCCAATGGAGTTGAAGGCATTGAGTGAATGCCTATTGATGAGGCCAATATTTATGAGTTATATGCCATTTCAATCACAATTCTAATCATATAGACTTATGTATGCAGGTACCAAATTCCTGATGACTGGCCGTATCAAGAGGCTCGACACCTTTTTAAAGAACCATTAGTCTTTGTGGATGATGAGCAACTTGATATTAAATGGAGTGCTCCAGATGAAGAAGTAATTAATTGTAGTTCAAAACTTTTGATTGTTCTTGTTTTTCTTTTGGCATGTTAACAGTGCTTTCCATTGTTTACTCTTTAGGGGTTGATAAATTTTCTTGTAACTGAAAATGGGTTCAACAGTGACAGAATTACAAAGGTATTCTAGCAAACTATTTTCATAAATTGATTCTTGTGCTGGACATGTGGTTTCATTGATATTGAGACTCGATATGTATATTGAACTAATTTTGTATTCTGATTATCTTAGGCAATAGAAAAAATCAAAGCAGCCAAGAACAAGTCAACTCAGGGCCGGTATGAAATGCTTAAAAAGTGAAAATGAGTTCAGCTATGCTTTTCCACTATGCTTCTTTAATGTCTGTTGTTTTCTTTATTTTTTATTTTATTTTCTCCCCAAACAGATTAGAATCATTCTTTAAACCTGTTGTTAGCACATCGGCACCCATTAAGCGAAAGGTATGTTTTCATTTAGTATTTAAAGCATCCAGTTGCCCATTGGTTCTAAGAATGCAAGGTCTTTTGAGGATTTAATTTGGTAGCACGTTTATATGGATGTCTCATGTTATGATAAAATGGTTTTTCTTTTTTGGTTGGTAAAATAATGCTATTGAAAATCTTGTAAAAAATAAGATGTTTGTGGGCTTGGCATTCCTACTCATAGTTTAGATATTGCACACTGACCTTCCTTGGCTGCACGTTTGTCCTCATTGTTGGGAAAACTGTTACTGTTTTGTTTCAAGTTGAACCCTTGTGTTGAACCCTTAACTAGAAGACAGCGAATAATTATGTGATGTAAATTCTCATAATGTCCTGATTGATTTCTTTCTGATCCTTGTACATTCACTATTGATAGTTTCAAAATTAGTTTTAGGGGTCGTTTTGGGGGGTCCTAAATAAGTGCACTTTTTGTCTTTTTGGACTAAAAAATTGAGGAAGAAAATATGGATGTTTGGGTTAATTTTTTGACTTTTTATGAAAAAATGTGTAATATAGGTTGGATTTGAAGTAATGTTGTAGAGAAGTGATGTGACTCAAATAAAAAATTATGTAACCCAAATAAGATGATTGTAACTCAAATAAGATGATGTGTTAAAATAGCATGTGTTATTTTAGCACATGCCAAACAACTACTAAAAAGTCATCACAAACATACTAATTTTTTTTTTGAGTAACTTTTTGGCTTTTTGGCTTTTTTGCAATATGCCAAACTTGGCCTTAGTCTTAATTAACCGATACTCCCTTTACTCTTAATGAACATCAATTTACTCCCCTCAATTATGAACCTGTATATTTTGAACCCCTCAACTACAAAAATGCGTCACTTCCACCCCTCCAAGATGGACCTATTTGTATGGTTTTTATAGTCAAAATCTATGTTACATGGACTTAGGTTTGGGTGTGTGGGTATGTATCTAGAGGTTGGACTCATCAAACTATAAATTTAAGGGTACGTGGACTCACTAAAAAAATGTCATATTTTTATATTTTTAATAATGTATGCAAGATAAAATGATGCTATATGTAACTTATAGTATTAAAAAGACATTTATAGCAATTATACAATAATATGTACATATGATAATGTGTTATATACAATTATATAAGAAGTATCCATTGAAAAGTATCCGACGTATATTCCATATCCTTGTCCAAGTATTGGGTGTCCGATATGGGTATTTGATTTATTTTGAAGAGTCCGTGTAACATAGGTCAAAATGTATGGGTTCATATTTGAAGTGGGTAAGGTGTTATTCGCTAATAGTTGGGGGTGTTTTGGTTTAGTTTTTAGTGTTTGTACTATCATGCCCTAGTGCTTTTAATATTCTATTCTCTTGCCAATGTTAATGACCTTCTTTAAGCCATGAATTTTCTTTTAACTATAGCAAGGAGTCTTCAAGAGTCTAAACCTACGAAGCATAAGTACGGAGGGGCAAGACTTGGGTATGGCATGGGTACAGCTCGGGGTTGGGTTTAGGATGGATACATTTTGCGTACTTTGGAACATTAATATAATTTTTTAGTAAGGGTATTGGAACAATTATATTGTGTTGCTTTTAAAAAAAAAATATAGGGTATTTTTGCAATATTAAAAAATATAAAATTACATGAGATTTTTTTGACCATTACCAAAATACTTTAATTATTTTTGCATTTGATTGTTTTTATTGTTATATGTCATATACTACTATTAACCAAACCAAACCAAACCAAACCAAACCAAACCAAGGCTTAAGTCCCATTAAATGGGGTCGGCTACATGAATCTTTCTTTTTCATGCGGCTCTATCAAAGGCTATTTCGTCAGTTAAATTAAATAGATTCATATCTCTATTTGCTATGCTAGTCAACGTCAATCTAAGTCTACCTCGTCCCCTAACACTTTCATTTACTGTCACTGCATTGCATTTATTTACTACTGTCTCTGTTGGTGACCAAACCATTTCAATCTATTCTCTCTCAACTTATCTTCTATGGGTGCTACTCCTTCCCATTCCCGAATATGCTCATTATTAATTCTGTCTTTTCTAGTCTTGCCACACATCCAATTTAGTATCCTCATCTTAACAACACTTATCTTATCTACATGTTGTTTCTTAGTTGCCCAACACTCCGTTCAATACAACATCACTGGTCTAATAGCCGTTTTATGGAATTTTCTTTCTACTCTAGTGGGTACTTGTTTATTACACAGTACCCCAGACGCATTTCTCCACTTAAACCACCCTGCCTTAATTCTATGGACCATATCTGCATTAATCTCCCTCGCTGTTGTGATAATTGACCTTAAATAACAAAATTGTTCACTCTTAAGTACTTGGTTCTCAATCTTCACTTCTCCTCTACTTTCATTGTTACTGTTACTAAATTTATACTCTATGTATTCTGTCTTAGTTCTGTTTATCTGAAATCTTTTAGATTCAAGTGCTTCTTTCAAAATCTTCAATTTTGTGTTAACTCCTATAGTTTCATCCACTAACACGATATCATCTGCAAAAAGCATACATCATGGCACATCATCTTGAATATTTCTAAACTCATCTATAATTAAAGTAAAAAGATAAGGACTTAGGTAGATTCTTGCTGTAACCCTATAGTAATTGGAAATCCATTTGTTTCTCCAACAGGCTATCTAATAGTGGTCATTACCCCTTCATACATGTCTCTAATCACATCAATGTAACCTTTTGTCACCCCTTTATTCTCTAACACCTACCAGATTAAATCCCGAGGTACTCTATCATATGTTTTCTCAAGATCGATAAACACAATATGAATGTCTCTTTTCTTTTTTCTATACTTTTCTATTATTCTCCTCAAAAGATAGATCACTTTCATTGTTGACCTACCAAGTATAAACCTAAATTGATTCTCTGACACCTCTGTTATATCTCACATTCAACGTTCCATCACCCTCTCCCACACTTTCATTATATGACATATTAGCTTGATGCCTCTGTATTTGTTGCAATTCTGGACATCTCTTTTATTTTTATAGATTGGCACTAAAATACTCTTCCTTTACTCATCTAATATGTTCCTAGTCAACAAAATCTTACTAAACAGCCTAGTCAATCAAGCGACCCCCTTCTTACACAAACATTTCCAAGCTTCAATAGGGATATTATCGGGTTCTAAAACCTTACTCGATTTCATTTTCTCAAGTGTAATCTTCCCTTCAAAGTTTCTAATCTTGCGATAGAACCTATAGTCTTGGTTTTCCTTATAATTGGCTATTTCCTCCCCTATTAATGTACTTCCATGTTCCTCTTTTAACAATTTCTCAAAATATTTCTTTCACATCTCCTTAATCTTTTCATCTTTCACCAATACCTTAGAATCCTCACTCTTGATGCACTTAACTTGATTAAAATTTCTTGTTTTCCTCTCCCTTATCTTGGCAAATTTGTATGCTCTCTTCTCTCCCTTTTTACTATCTAGTCTTGTGTATAGGTTATCATAAACTTTCAATTTAGCCTCTCACTACTTTCTTGCCTCCTTATCAGCCAATCTATAGCTCTTAAGATTTTCCTTAGTTTTATCCTTCTGTCACTTTTTAAAGCACTATTTTTTCGCCTTAACTGCCGCTTGAACCTCTTCCCTCCATCACCAAGTTTCCCTTTCGTTGGGTCCCTTTTCTTTCGACTCTCCAATAACTTCTTTTAAGATTCTCCTTGTACAATTGGCCATCGAGTTCTATATAGTGTTAGCATCATCTTCTAAGTCTCAACTACCTTTATTATTCATTCATTCATTCTTAAATATTTATAGTTTATCTGTTTTAGGTCCCACCATCTCGTCCTATGATGCCTACTATCCTTACTAGCTTGGTATTACTCTTTAAAGCATAAATCTAGTACCAAAATCTTATATTGAGAACTTAGAAAATATGAGGAAGAAGAACTCCGAAAATATGAGGAAGAAGGAATATATTTCTGTTATTTGACTCTCCAAGAACTTCCCTTGAGATTCTCCTTGTACAATTGGCCATCAAGTTCCATATAGTGTTAGCATCATCTTCTAAGTCCCAAACTACCTTTATTATTCATTCATTCTTAAATATTTATAGTTTATCTGTTTTAGGTCCCACCATCTCGTCCTATGACGCCTACTATCCTTACTAGCTTGGTATTACTCTTTAAAGCATAAATCTAGTACCAAAATCTTATATTGAGATGTCAGGCTCTCTCCAGGAATCACCTTACAGTCATTGCATTTTAGACTGTCCACTTTCCTCACTAAAAAGTAATCTATTTAGCTTTTAACTGACCCACTCTTAAAGGTTATCAAATGCTTCTCCCTCTTCTTATACATAGGATTGGCCACCACTAGGTCAGAAGCCAATGCAAAATCTAAAATACTCTCTCCAGCCTCATTTTTATCACCAAAACCATATCCACTATGCATCATCTCATAGCCTAGTTTATCTATTCCTACAAGGCTGTTGAAATCTCTACCTATAACAAGGTTTTCTCCTACGGGTATCTCCTGTAAGATATCATCCATTTGCTCCCAAAAATTGTTCTTAGTCTGATCATCTAATCCTACTTGGGGGGCGTATGCACTAATAACGGTCACTATATTCCCTCCAATAACTAGTTTAACTAACATAATCCTATCACATTTCTTAATGACCGTCGCTACATTTTCCACTAGACCCTTGGCAACTATTATTCCTATCACATTCCTGTGTTTATCCTTGCCATTATAATACAGTTTAAACCCAGTATCTTCAATTTCTTTAGCTTTCTCACCCGTCTACTTAGTTTCTTGTACGTGTGCTATAATAACTCTCTTTCTAATCATAACATCTACCAATTCCATAGTTTTATCAGTTAAAGTTCTTATATTCCATGTGGCTACCCTAAACCTATAGTCTTGGACTAGCTTCTTTACTCACGCTCGCATAGAAAAATGCAGAAATCTTTGCCTATTTCTCACTGCACCCATGCGTTGATG